CTTTTCACCTTGATATAGCAACTGGTGTTTACACTCAAAGTTTGATCGAAGTCTGGAAGCTTGTTTTTTGTTTGTTTGCTTGTTTTCTTTTTAAAGATTCATATATAGGATTTTTATTAGCACAGAGTGGACAGCACACTGGTGGAGTGGCTCAAGTCGTAGAGCACCTGCCTAGCAAGCATGAGGCCCAGAGTTCAAACCCCAGCACTCAAAAAAAATTCAAATAAAATTAAGGTAAATAACTGACCTCAAGGATTACCCACTGAAATCAAAGCAGGAATGACTGTTTCCTCCTCATGTACACAGAGAAAGGCCAAAAAAGGAAACACTGTATCTTGTCATTGGTCCACAGAATGTCCTGTAGCTATTACTAGTAATTAAATGTTTAACTTTTGCTGACAGATTAAATCAAGCGTTCAGTTAAAGAAAGGAAACTTTAGGGCTTTGCCCTTCCTGACTTTTGTTCTCTTGGTGTTGGCGTAGGCAGGTAGGCAGCCATAAGCAGCAATGCCGGGCTACGCGAATCCATTCCCGAGAGCCCCAGATGGCCACGGCCTGGACCAATGGTTGAGGTCACGACCTTTATCCTCCTGATGGAGCCACTCAAGGTGGCACATGTATCTCAAGGGTGTAATGACCGCTCTGTGACCTTCCACTGTCTGAACTAAACTGGAAAGGACAAAGTGACAAGCGCTCAAGTGCCTGTCCTGCCCCTCTCAAAAGCACAGGCACGGGACTTCCTACTGTACCATCACTGAGCCATCTGGAGAGGGGCCAGAGGGGAGGGCCTTGATATTGTGACACCAACTAACCCTGGCCCATCGGACAAGCCCCAAAACTTCACGCAGTCAGCCCTCATCCAACTGCCCGCCTCGCCCCTCCAGGTGCGCTTTGGCTGATTAGTCACTTTCCCTGTGGCTCTTTCCCTGCACCTAGGACAGCATCCTAATCTTGGACGTTGGATCCCAAGAACCAAGGAACCTCCGGGACACCCCCTCCGCCAGTGACATTGGGTCCTGTCTTCCCACATTGAATAAGGGCTTGCCCTGTGCCACCTGCCTTGGCCACAGGACACGACCGATTCTGGCACAGCACAGCCTCCTAAGAACTTGCACACTGGGCCAGGAAAGCTCCCCTTGGAAGCCAGCTGCCATGGCCCAAAGAAACCTTGGCAAGAACTCACAGAGAGAAAGACCCTGCAGGACAAGAGGCCACCTGGGTCTCTCGTCTCAATAGGTGTGACCAGCTCTCCCAGCTGCAGCAGGAGGCCAGGCAACCCGCAGGATGAAGAATGACCCGCCAGGCAGCAGTCCGGTTTGCTACAATAGGTAACCGAGACAGCCTGGCTAAATTTGTTTCCAAAAAGGAATACAGTTGACTTCAGGTGAAGAGTCAGAAATCAAGAAGTTCTCCTATGAATGAAAGTAAAAAACAATTGGAACCAAAACAAACTGCTGACCTTAAACTATCTCTTCTAGTTCTGTTTGTGAAAATGACCAAAAAAACAAAAACAAAAACAAAAACACACCAGTCTTTAGTCTTTGTCTCTTTGGAAGGTTGGCCAGTTCTATTCAGAGCAGGGGAGAAAGTGAGCTCTGGCCACCCCAGTGGCTCACACCTGTAAGCCTAACCACTCAGCAGGCAGAGATCAGGAGGATCACAGTTCGAAGTCAGCCCGGGCAAACAGTTCGCCAGACCCTATCTCGAAAAAAACCCATCCCAAAAAAGGGCTGGCAGAGTGATTCAAGCTATAAAAGCACCTGCCTAGCAAGTAGGAGGCCCTGAGTTCAAACCCCAGTACTACCCCCCCCAAAAAAGTCACACATATGATACCAAAAAAGGAAAATCTTTCCTTTTCAAATAACTAGTATTATACTTGTGTTATTTTTTCAGATAAGGAAAATTGTTGAAGTTTAAATTTACATATATCGGGAGGGTCAATAAGGCCTTCTGGACCAGTCAGATGTCACACTGCTCCTTGGCTTCTCGCTTTCAAATGCTCCACTTGCAGGTCTGAGAAACCATCTCAGGAGCCACAGCCTCGGGCACTGACACAGCACGGTGCCCAGGCGAGTTTTACCTTCAGGATGGACTTAAGTAAGAGCTGGCTGCTCCATCTGGTGATGGATTTGAACAACTGTTGCTTGTGCTGCCTTAACGCTGCTCTGACTGCGTGGTTCATGAGGACAAAGACCTTCCTAAGGTCAAGGACAGAGCCCAGTGACTCACACATGGAGCCGCCTTTTATACCAGCCTAGAGGAGCCAGTGGAGAGATTTTGCCACCCTAAACTAAAACCTTTGACCACGAGCTCTATTTTTGCTGATCTATACAAACAGATGGCCTGGAAAAAAACTCATGTGTTTGTGAGATATGAAAACCTCCCAAGCTAATATTTCACAGGCATGTCACTGTAGCTTCAGGCTACACCAATAGTGATTTAAAAAATTATAAAACGGTAGCAAACCCCAGCACTCAGGTGGCTGAGGCAGGAGGGTTATGAGTTCAAGGTTACCTAGAGCTACATAGCAAGACCCTGTCTCAAAAGAAAGAAAGGAAAACAAAGTTGAAGAAGGAACTTAGGAACCTTGCATATTAAAAATTATATAGTTTTAATAGTAGTTAATATTATTTAATCATGTAACTTTTTAAAATGTTACCTTAGAAGTTATTCATTTTGGGGGAGGCGTTAAACTCAGGGTCTCACACTTGCTAGGCAGGTGCTCTACCACTTGAGCCACTCTGCCAGTTCTTTTTAGTGTTGGGTGTTTTCAATATAGTGTCTTGAGAACTATTTGACCAGGCTGGTCTCAAACCTCCATCCTCCTGATCTCTGCCTCCCAAATAGCTAGGATTACAGGCGTGAGCCACCAGCACACAGCCAGAAATTATTGGATATTTTTTAAAATCAAAAAGAATTCTCATTAAGTCCTAAAGCAAGTTATGCAGTGCAAATACAATGCCAAGAACTAATTTTTTAAATGAGAAAGTATTTAGAACTAAAACCATGAGAAATCAGATACAGGAAACGAACTGAATGTAAAGAAATTAAATATGGAGTGTACCTATCCAGCACCATGAAGATGTGTGCACATGTAGGGGTGGGGTGTGTGTATGTAGTGGAGTGTCCTTCTGTCTGTACACTCAAGCTCATTCATGTCAAGCTGAATTCAGAGCAAAGCACACTGACATTTTTGACAAATATTTCTCATGCCTGTGATGTTTGAACAAGATAACCTCAAAACTGAGCCGTCTAGAAGCAAACTGTCACAGGAGCACCTTCCATTATAAAAACCTGTGTGCCTTATCTGTGGCACGAGAGAGCGTTTTTATTTGACTTTTAGCAGTTATACCAACAGTGGCCACAAAACAGAATTTGTAACTGATTTAAACCCAACCCAATGAAGTAAGCCTTCCAAATATTTTTGATATATATTTGTAGCTAAAAGTATTAGAGAACATTAAGAAAGATAGCCATAGAGAAAGCAGCGATGTAGCACTGCCCTACAAACACCTTAGTCTCTCTCTGTGGAATGATGTCTCTGATGCCTATGCACGCATTCCATTCACGGCTTAGATCAGCACAAAATCAGGCCTTTTTCTGAGGATGTCTTTTCATTTCCTGAAAGTCTAAGAAAGCATGAGAGTGACAAGAAAGAGAAGAGGCCTTAAAAGCGTGGAGCTGGGTAGGCCACTGCACTGTGTTGAGTGAGCACCCTGTAGTGCTAGGTAACAGCCCCAGGCTGCACTGTGTGACACATTAATGTCACTTAAAGTCTTCCTGTATGTTAGTCAGTTACAGCCTCCTGTTCCTGTTCTACCACTACCAAACCGCCACACCTGCTGTTAGTAGCAATGACCATCAAATATCAGACACGATGTCATCTTCGCTGAGGTGTGGACTTAGGATTGAACCCAGGACCTCCCAGGTGCCAGGCATGTGACCCGCCTCTGAGTCATGACCCTTGCCCTTCCATGAGTTTGGGGCCTTTATGTGAGGGAAGGAAAACTTTACAAAGGTGTTTATTAAGAACAACCAAGTTCATAAATGATAGTATTTGAAAGTCTAACTTCAGTCATCTAGGATGCTTCATGCGGCACTTTCCCCGCTAGTATTCATAATGAGTTAGCTTGTGCTGTATTTTCACTTTTTGATCTGATTTTTAACCAAGATCTTTTAGCATTCTAAATTTTAGCTCTGCACAATTAGAGTGCATTGTAATACTTCTATGAAATTCTACCTATGAAATTCTGCCGAGCTCCAGCATTATTAAAAGCTGCAAGAACTACAATCAGGCTACACAGACAAGCCTGGAGTCTCAGACACCACACTTAAACTTCTCGAATGGCCACGTGACGTTGTTCCTAGTCTCAGCACTGCTGAATTGGACCTTACTGGATTTCAGCTTTGGAGAGGAACGAAACAGCTGCTTGGGACATCCTAAGTTAGAATCCTGCCTAACTAAGGCTTTGAATTTTGGCACCCAAGGATGCTCTGTGGTGGGCATCCTCAGGTCAGTGTCCTGGACTGCTGCTCTCCAACTGTCACCGTGGGGTCAGACAACCTTTATTTGTCAAGGGCTAGATGGAAAATACTTTGTTCTTTGCAAGCATAGAGTATGCAGTAAGCACTTAAATGCTACTATAAAGCAGGACAGCAGTCAGGAGCAATACACAAAGCAAGGTCATCAGCTGTGATCCCATGAATCTTCATGTGTGCACAGTGAGATTTGAACTCCAAACTTTTTCACATGCAATGAAAGAACACAATTCATATTTACATCTAAAACGACAAGACTGCTGTCAGCAAGCCAGCCCTACAAGACCAGGCCAGCCAGGTCATCACCTGGGAAGAGGACAAGGACGCCAGACACCCGGGCAGCACCCTGGAAGGTGGGGTGGGAGGCAGGGAGGGACTCAGGAGTGGAAGGGTTGGACTGGGGCGCCCAAGCCGAGCCCTATCCCAGGGGGTCAGGGCTCCTTTATCCGAGGGTCACTCACTTGGAAATGCCAGCAGGGACGCGGGCCAGAGCAACAGTGCAACTAGGAGGACAACGGGCTTCATGGGCGTCGTCCGCAATACTGCGCCATGCGACAGGAACGTCCTGGGGCCACCAGGTCAGGTGCCTCGGGACCGAAACGGGGTGTCACACAGAGGCCGAGCGTCCCACCTCAGGGCCCGGGGCCCCCCCGCAACGGTTCTCCCCCACGGGCGGCGCGGGGCCGGGCGCGCGCGCTCGCGGAGCGGGGATGCTCGGCTCGCGGGGGCGCGCTGGGCTCATCCGGCGCGCTGGGCTGGGCTCATCGGGACGCACTGGGCTCATCGGGACGCACTGGGTTCATCCGGGCTCGGTTCTCGGGACTCCACATGGGCTCGCTGGAGGTCGCCGAGGAGCACTGGGGCTCTTCGGGGCTTGCTGGCACTGGGCTCGCCCGAGCTCGGCGGCGCACGGTGCGACACTGGGTCGTCTCCAAGTCCCGCTGCTGCCCACACTGCGTCCGTCCCACCGGGCAGCCCCAGCGCTGGCGCTGGAACTTCGTGAAGCAAGAGCCCGCCTGGTGCTTAAGCTGTGCGCATGGAGCCCAGGAAAACCTCCAGTGCACCCCGAGGGCGTGAGGTGACCAAATGGGGGGCCTCAGAACGTGCCAAGAATTGAAGACAGCCCGACCCTGGGCGGGATGGGGGGGCAGTTTTGTGGGGGAGTGGGGATGAGTGGGCAGGGCAGTAAAGATGCCTGCAGGGGTTTCGTTTGTTTTTCTTAAGTTGGGTCTTCAAAGGGTGAGTGTCTGACATTTTTGAAAGGCAGGGTTAGGGATGAGGAGAGCGTTACTGAAAGGAATACTCTCGGGAGCTTTGGAGTGATCATGGTGTGGTGGCCACAAGAATCTCTAGATGTTTAAATTCGTGGAACTCTACACCAAATTTTCTTTTATTGTATGGTTTTTGATCCAATTAAAGCAGATTAATCAGCACAGGTTGGCTGGCTCACTTATGAAGACACGTCAGGTGCGCTGCTGGCCTGGGGAGCTCAGAAATGCTGACCAAGGGCCTCGGCCTCAGGCAGGCTGGACTTCCACTGGAGTGAGGGCGGGCGTATGGACTACACTGGCAAGGTAGCCAGTGCTCAGGAAATACGAGCCCAAGTGCAGGCTGACCACAGCTTGATTCTAGTGAGTAGAATGTGACAGAAATGGTGGGAGATTAGGACACAAAAGGACTGTGGCCTGCCTGTCACAGCTATATTATGAGTTGTCCTTTGGAAGGAAGAATCACATGTTGAGGAACCAATGTCTCCTGCCGACCTGAGGCCTACCAATTTCAAGGGCACAGACATGAACTTGGAACTGATCTTATCTGGCAAGCCTGGCCATGACCCAGTTGATGCTCTGACAGCAGCCTCCCAAGAGACCAGGAGCCAGAGGCACTGGGTAAGTCACTGACCCAGATTCCAGATTCCTGGCTTGTGGAAACTGTAAGATGAGCGAGAAGAGAGAGGAGAGAGAGGTGCTTTTACTAGATGGGGGAAGAAAGCAAGTTTCCCCATTGGCTTCTCAAAAGGTGCCACACCTGGAAAGCCACTTGTGGTTGTGGTTGACTGCACTTCTGGATGGAGTTCATGGTTTCCAGCGTCTTTAGGAGCCTCTGTTTGCATCGGCCACCTAACCGGCCTGCAAACCGTATCTTCGCCTCTCCGATGTGACACTTAAGCTAGTCTTCAAAGACTGGTACAAGTTTGTTTCACTACTTGGGTTGGAGGAAAGGAGGAAAGGGGAAGGCTGCCCTGTGGGTCTCCACTTAGTCTTTTCTATCACACTCACCTGGTTTTAAACATCAGGAAACCAAAGGGAAGATTCTGCCACTGCCTGGGCCCCTGTCTCTCAAATGTACACTCAAAATATTGGAGAAGTAGCCACTGGAAGGGGTTGGGGTTCCCCTGAGCTTACCACTAGGTGGACTCAAGTTAAAATTCCTCTGATTGCTTCACCCATGTAGGCCCCACTCTAACTAGTGAACCCCTGTGGGGCCCTGGATCCCCAGAATCAGGGTGAGCAGCCAGCAGTCTGTGACCTAAAGGACTGGGGCTTTGGTTTTTCAGAGCAAATTTCTCTACAGATGACTCCTAGTCCCTCTGGGGAAGACGCCGAGTTAAGAGTCCCAGTGTAAACTTGTGGCATTGTCATTGACTCCTTCCCCAGGGGTCTCCAGCTTCTCCTTCATCCAGCAATTCTAAATCTGGAAGTGGAGTCTGGATTGTGAATTGGGTGATAGCTGGAAGTAAGACGTCTATTTTGTTGGCTTAGAAATTGTGCCTGTGCATGTGTGTGTGTGTGTGTGTGTGTGTGTGTGTGTGTTGTGGGACTGGGGTTTGAACTCAGGGCTTCACACTTGCAAAGCAGGCACACTACTGCTTGAGCCACACCTCCAGTCCATTTTGTTCTGGTTACTTTGGAGATGGGGGTCTTGCAAACTATTTGCCTGGGCTGGCCTCAAACCTCAATCCTCCCGATTTCAGCCTCCCAAGTAGCTAGGATTATAGGATTACAGGCATGAGTCACCAGTGTAGGTATTTTTCTTATCCCTTGAAATTTTCCAGATAAGATTGTATTATATACTAGTCATTGCTCATGCAGTTACAAGTAAAAATGATAATTTCTTACAGAATCTAGGCACTTGCAGAAGAGAGGGTCATCAGTAGAAATGTGTATCTCGTACCTCGTGTTTCCCTTCCTGACATCACTGAGGTATTTGTGAGGGGGCTAACTCACAGCCCCACTCCCTAAAGTGCTCAGCCTGCGTTTCTGGTTCTGTAATTGCACTGTAACTGATCACAGCTTTTCCTTCTCAGCGATGCATTTTGTCTCCCTTCGTAGTTGTTCATAAGCTTCTCCCTCACACACCACACCTTTTTGGTGCTCAGTGAAGACTTAAACAACAGCTCATGCTGTACTCCCACACACAGCTTCCAAAATCCCCTGGTGTTTCAAGGCTGTAATGCCACATCTGCTTGAAGCCTCTTCGTCATCCCACCAAGAATGTCCTCACCGTGCCACATTTCCATGAGGCTGTGTACAGCATTGTTCCACTGAACTATTGCAGCTTGTGGTTAGGAGCCACTCATCCTTACAGCATGGTCACTGAGGAAGGGAGCCAGGTATAAATCGTCCTCGTATTGCAACTTTCCAGTTGCATTCACCAGGTGCTCAATAAGTGCATGTTTGAGTCCCATTGGAATTACAAGGTTGGGAGACTTTATGTACATTTTTGCAGGCTCTTAAAAGGAGTCAACAATAGTTACCTTGCTGTAGAGACAACTTCCAGTGTAATTCTTACCTCTTCTTTCCCTGAGTGTCTGTGACTGGCACTTAAACCCAGGAGAAATGAGTGACGTAGTCACCTTTGCTCTTTTCTCCATATGCCCTGGGAATGACTCTGGACAACAAATTTCCAGACTGTGGGATTTCTGTCAAAGGGAACGCACCATATCCATCAACACCGTAGGCAATTGTGAGGGGCACAGGTGGCTCACACCTGCAATCTTGGCTACTGGATCAGGAGGATTGAGGTTGGAGGATAGCTCAGGCAAATAGTTTGCAAGACCCCCATTTCCAAAGTAACCAGAACAAAATGGACTGGAGGTGTGGCTCAAGCAGTAGTGTGCCTGCTTTGCAAGTGTGAAGCCCTGAGTTCAATCCCTAGGCCCACCAAACCCAAAAAAGTACAGGAAAGTGCTAACAGTGGAGCCCTCATTTTTGAGGACCAACTATGACAAATGTGGTATTGTTGTAAACTGGCCCCTTTGTTTTTCAGTAGATAGGGAAGAGTTCTGCTTACAACCCCTCTCCATCCCAACATTGATTTTCCTTATACTCCTGGTGCACATGGAACTCACATTTAGTCTTTTCTTCTTTCCCTATTAGCCAATAGATTTGTGTGAAGAGGCTCTGCTTAGCCACAGGTGCATCTGTCTTCCTGGAGGAAGAAGCACGTTTGGCTGGTCCCCCCTCCATCATCACACATTACCCACTGGCCACCCCCTGTTCCCCAGGCCAAGGCTCAGGGCAGCTCTGATGACTCCCCCTGCCTCCTTAGCACTGATGCCTGTTCCACATCTCAGATCTCAGATGTCACTTCCTTGCAGCACTTGGTCCAGTGCCTGGAAAAATGGTTGAAGTTCAATACTTAGTAAGTGGAGCATACATGATGGAACCCACTCGTCTCTACCCAGACCTCCTCCTCTCCACCATTCTAGCTCAAAGGTCGCTCTCAGTGTGAGCCTCACTGAGAAAGGGACTCAGACGTGCAGGGGCAGCAGAGCCTCACGACTGGCAGGTATGGACCTCATGATTGCCTCAGAGCCCAGCTCTGCAGAAACCAGGTTTTGCTTTTGATTGCTTGCTCTTGTGCATTTTGCTTTGCCTTTGTAATTTGCATTGCGGATGCACTACAGAATGTGCTGGTGTTAAATGATTTAATAATAGCCATTGTGCTCCAGAAGATTTCCTTCAGAGCAGGCTGACTAGAGGAATGTCACCCATCCTGTCTTTCGCCAGCTGTGAAAGCTGGTGCGATGCAGCTGTGTTGCAGGCAGCCTGGGCTGAGATGGGGGCGGGGGAGCATACTAAGCGGTGCCCTGCTTTGACAGGTCCTGCCCCGCCTGAGGTAGGAAAATGCATTTTTATTTCCTGTACAGGACTCTGAATTGGCTCCATGGAATGTTTGTATTTTAATAAATGAATAGCACAGAAATCTGGAGTGTGGCTGGGGACAGCTGGGAAGGAGCTGCAAATACGAGCCTCGGAGGGCTTTTAGCTCTGTGCAGACTCTGTCTTTTTAGCTCAGAGAGTACAGCTGGTGACGTCACAACATAACTCCATGAATACTGTCACCTCAGATAACTCTAAAGAATTCTCAACTTGTTTACTTAGAATTCACTTAACTTCTGAAATCTGAAATTTGCCCACAATAAGCAGGAAGATTCCTTTTTAAAAATCTATTTTATTAGCGGATGTTCATTGTACAACATAATAGCTTTAATTATGACATTTCATGCATTTATGCAGTGT